ATTTGTATTGATTAGTTCCTTTTCACGTGCCTAAACCATCCCATAAAAAATGGTGATGATCACTGTCCACTGTTTGCCAAGCACAGAAGGTTTGGGGTTGGACATCAAAAAAGGCTTTGAACATCTGAATGTAGACAGGACTCTTGCTATGGAAACCTACTTTCCTTCCAGTGATAAGAGGCTGCGGTGCTTCCAGGTACTGAGAAATTCGGTGCCTCATTTGCCTCAAAATAACTTTTATAATAGCTATAGCACTATAAGGAGGTATCTGTGATAAGTATATTCTACCTTCACAGTCTAAAAGCTACTTTTCTGTGCAAAAATAGTGCAGTAAGGGAGGGAAAATACACATTCAGGTTTTGGGGGATATTACGAGCGTCTTCCTGGCAAGTCCCTTAATGTTGGGCAGCATGAAAGAACTGGAAGATGAGACAGAAATCCCCTTGCCTCTGGATTCAGGGTTGAGGGTGAAGCTCTCCAGAATCTCTTGGACATCCAAACTTTGAAGCTGTGTCTGAAACAAAAATTCAGTTCTTTGGGAAGGTACTTTGAACTCTTCCCTGCTTGCCTGTGGCCAGCTGAGCTTTGCATGCCAATGCCCAAGAAAAACCCTCAGGAGGACTCTGCCAGTTGTAGCTGCTGCTTTTGGTGTTGCATGTGACTATGCTGGTAGACTTGGGAGCAGTACCATGCATATCATGTGTCACTCTCAAATACCTTAATGTTTCATTCATCTGCAATAAGCTAATCATCCTGAAATAAACTGTATGGCCTGGCAGTTACTGTGTGGGTTTGCGACTGGAGCTTCAGCTCCTGCTTCAGCAGGGAAGGATGCAGCAGGCTCTCCTGAGAACCGTTAGCTTTCGCAGCAGGGAGGTTGGCCTGAGAGTTTTGTTCCCCCTTTCTATCTCAGGGTACTCATTAGTTTGCATTAAGGAGCAGTTACTGATAAATCATATTATGACGTTGCCCATAATCACTGTTTGAAATGTTGTCTCAGTGAAAATTTATTGCACTTAAGCCTTCTATGTGGTTACGCTTGAATTTTATATCACTAACGTGGTGATAAATAAAAAACCCCATTTACTCAGCTGTTCACAGCACACTCGTAATACCTCAGCTTAGTTGCCTCCCTTTTAACTTTATTGCTAAGCACATACCAAGTAAACTCCGGATAAAATACCCAGCTCTCACATTTGAGAAAAGTTCACATCTAAGCCGAGTGCCTTCATCACACATAGAAGAGCAGAGAGACCTGCAAAACTACCACTCCACTTCAAAACCTTTTTAATACAACTACAGCTCTGATCTACAGCACATTAAACTTCAGGCGCAGTCCTGAATTCACTGCGCCGTGGATCAGGTGTAGAAGTGAAAATTTGGTTCCTGAAGATTGTTTTTGCCGGATTGTATTTAGAGTCCTTCTGCACAACCTGGTTTTCAGAAGAACTAGCCCAGTGGTAAGGGTGGACTGACCTACTTAAAATGCTTACGACATTTTAAAGCATACAAACATTTGTATTTTTGAAGCTCTGAATTCTTATGGAATATGCTGGCCTGCCCAATATAAATACCTGGCCTTTTGTGTGCTCCACAACGCTGAAAATCCTTTTAACAGGCATTGTGCTTCTCCGTATGTTAATGCCTGTATCTTTTTGAACTGCCAGCCACTTCTCAGCTCTCATGGATTGTATAAAGCGCTAGTGTTGAGTTACAGGACCACAGGGGAGAAGGCATCTAAAGTCACTAAATTTAAAACTGAGGGATCTGAGCCAAGTCTGGAAGAAGAAAAATGGCCGTCAGAAATTGCATCAATTCTCTAACCTAATTTGTCATTTTTGCTTTGTTTTGACCAATATGCAACCCTCACTCCCTTGAAATAGTGAGAAGCAGCCGGCTTTCCAGGAGGCACTCGCAGGCAGGGTGAGGGGCTCTGTTCTCACCGCACCTCAGTCCTTATCCTTTGAAATCAAAAACCGCAGCGGTGAAGCTGTGGCTGCTACGCCAGGATGTGTTTGGGAAGTCTGTGACCTGACCTCAATGAGGAAGAGATTAGAACCGAGAGACAGGAAAAACAAACAGCTCTCCCCCTTGCCAGAAAAGCGCCTCATCCATCACGAAGAGCCAAGCATGGTGGGTAACTGCAGCAGGCGTCTTCCCAGTTGCTCTGGCTTTTGCATTGTGCTTTTACGGAGAGGAGTTAGGTGGAAGAAGATCATGATGAGGAGGCTCCTGGAGGTCTCGAAGCCTGGGCGAGCCTGCAAGGGCTGGTCACTGCCTCAGAGGATGGCGTAAAGCAAAACCCCTCTCAGCTGCAGTGACTCAGTGACACCAGGATGCTTTGAATGATGTCCTGTAGTAGCTCATCTCCCGTCGGACAGACAGACTGTGGTTGCATCTCTGTCTGCCTTGCTTAGCAAGGCATTGTGTTTGATGCATCATCAGTGCAGGGGATTAGGAAAACACAGGCTTTGGCAGAGCCACTCCCGTTGGATGGGAGCCTCTCAGATGCTGTGGTTTCTGTGCTTTAGGTTCCTAATCTGTCTTGCACTGCTTTAGTATTACACTGGGGACTTGTCTGCTTCTATGGAGGGTTTTCTGGATTCGGTTTTATAGCCGAAACTGTAAATGAATTCTGGCATCCAATCTAGCTCTGTGGATGCGCAGGGAGTAAAGGCATTTAGAGTACAAAACCGCGTACAGAGCATTACCATTGAATACGCACGTATTATTCGCATCAGGATTGCCTGCTGTATGCTAAGAGAGCCAAGCATTGAGTCCAGCCTAGGCAAGAAACTCAAGTGAATTTTTCAGTTAAGTGCAACTGCTCTTGATGGTCTCTGCTAGTCCAAAAAAAAAAAAAAAAAAAAGAAAAAAAATGCCAGAGCAGCCCTTGAATCTTATGGTTTGTCTTGTCTGTCCTGCTGGAGTTGGGAAGCTGTTTCCAATAAGGCAGCATGAAATAACAAGCATGTGGGGATGGAAGGTCGCTTTACCCTTCTGCGTTGATTGTGGGTGGCCATCCTAAGGGGCCTGGGAATTGTTTCATGCAAGGCAGAATGCTGTTTATGGGAGACCGTGTGGTTATATAGAAAAGAAGATTAAAAAAAAGAGGGGAGAGGGTCCTTTGGCTGCCGGTCTGCCACCCTGCAGAAAGGCAGGCTCACCCTGTTTCTCATACACAACATGAGCTCCACGCCTGACCTTACAGAGGGAGGGAGAGTTGGACCTACATGCAAGATCAAAGGTACAATTAATCTCTTGCGCTC